CTAGATAATTTAGAAAAGATGTTCTTTTCTCCGTTTCTCCCCCTCTTTTGTTGTAAAATACACACAACATTAACTTTACCATTTTAACCATTTTTAAGTGTATAGTTTGATGGCATTAAGTACATATTGTTGTGTAATCATCACCATCATCCATCTCCAGAACTATTTCATCTTGCAAACCTGAAACTTTGTACCGATTAAATAATAACTCGCCATACCCACCTCCCCCCAGTGCCTGGCAACCACCATTCTACTTTCCGTCTCTGAATTTGACCACTCTAGGGACCTAAAGGAAGTGGAATCGTATGGTACCTGTCTTTCTGTGGCTGGCTTATTTCACTTAGCATAATGTCCCCAAGCTTCATCCGTGTTGTAGCATGTATCAGAATTTCCTTCTTTTTAAGGCTGAATAATATCCCCATCTGTATACAGATATACACACACACGCACCACATTTTGTCTATCCATTCACCTGTCGACGGACACTTGGGTTACTTCTGCCTCTGGCTTTTGTGAATCCTGCTGCTGTGAACATGGGTGCATAAATCTCTTTGCTTTGGTTCTAAGTTTTGGGAAAATTTACCATTTCTGTCTTGTAAATCACTGATTCAGTTTCCTGCTATTACCAATTGGTTCTTCACATCTTCCATTGTGTTTTGAAATTATCAATCATCATGTTACTCCTCCAAAATTGTTTTTCTGTTATCAGTTGTTCTTTATTTGTGACTTCCTGCTCTTGTTTTATAGAAGCAGGATTCATTGAGTTTGAAGGCATCATCCTGTTGTCTCCTCATGTTCAATGTAGTGGTTGAGAAGTGGAATCCATTCTCATTCTTGTTTCTTTATAGGTGATTTTTTTTCTCCTCTCCAGTAGCTTTTAGAATCTTCTCTTTATCGCTGGGATTCTGAAATTTCACGATGGTGTGCTTTGTCGTTTAGAACTCCTGTTAGTTGGATGTTGGTTCTCCAAGTTGATCTTTTAAGTTGCTTGTGGTGGTTTTATGAGGCTAATAAGAAAGAGCCTTTTCTTCTCTTCTTAAATTTGAAACCAAGTGAGAACTAAGACACAGTAGACAGATAAATGGATATCAAGACGTTAGCTTTATTGCTGATAAGCAGAAAAAGGAGATTTGGCTTAAAACCTTAGAGCAACATGACTTGTTAATATTTCATCCAAGAATTAGGCAGACATATCTACCTAGCCACAGGCAGAGCTGGGAAAAGTAGGCCTTCCCTGCAGGGACGGGCTCAACACTGCCTGGCAGAAAGTAGATTACAAGATAGGCATGGAGACACAAGAGAGAGCTCCCCGGGGCTGAGCCAGGCAGGCTCAGTGAGTCAATCTTCCTCCCCTGGGGAGGAGTGGGGGGGGGGGGGTCTGGAGAAAGGCCAAGAGAATTTTCCTAGTGGGAAATATACATGGAACATGATGCCAGGGCAAAAATACCCCTTATTTAGCTATCTGTTTTCTTATTAGAAAAATTTTGAAAAATCTGTTTGCCTTTTTGTTCTTTTTTTTTTTTCCTGGAAGATTTCCTAAATTTATCTTCCAAAGTTTCTATTAAATTTTTTTGGCTTTAAATAGTAACTTTTTTTATTTTCAATAGATCTTTCTTGTTTTCTGAACAAGTATCTAGAATATGCAAGAAATTCTGGCTAATCAACAAACAGAATTCTGGAAACCCAGTAGAAAAGTGGATAAAGGATATGGAAAGGCAGTTCGTACAAGGGAAACTCTAGCAAATGGATGAAGAAATGTTCAAACCCACTGTTAACTGGAAATGCAAAATAAAGAGAACAGTGCGGTAGCCTCAGACTGGAAGCATTTTGGAAGTTGAATAATATCGAGTGTTGGGAAGGATGAGCCAAAAGAGGGTGCCCTCAAACGCTGGTGGTGGGAGGGTCAACTGGCACAGCCATTCGGGAAGACGCACAGTCTGGCAGGACTCAGTGAAATCAAGCACGAGAATACTTTGCGACCTCTCAATTTCGCTCCTGCATGGATTTCACGGGGAAATTCTTGCCTAGATCCGCCTGGGAACATGATGAAGCATTAACAGCAGAGATAAAACAGGAAGATAATTTCTAGGTTATTAATATTTTCATAGAAGGGGCAGAGATGGAAGATGTGGTGAGGAGATAGAGAAGGTGGGGGAGGATGAGGCAAACAAAAAGAGAAAGGGAGCAAAAACTGTACTGAAAAAGAGTATTGTGGATATGATCTCAGCAGCGTAAAAATGTGTGCGCGCACGAAATTAAGTAGTAGAATATTCTATGACCTAGCAATTTCATTCTTGGATATAGTTCCAAGAGAAATTCTCACCTCAGTCCATGTGGGAGTATGAGGAGAACATTAATCACGGTGTTGATGGAGGCAGTTGGGTGTTGGCAACAACCTAGGGTTCATTATTAGGGAACTGGATAAATAAGAGCTGATGGATAACACGCCACTGAATACTTGTAGCGGTTCATAGCAACAAACCAGACGTACAAATAGCAGCAAGGATAGATCCTAAACATTTATTTTCGGGTGAAAAAGGTCAGGAACAAATACAATTTATAAAAGTTCCATTTATGGATGTAAAAAACAGACACACAAACTACACCATATATTTTATAAGGATACGTATTTAAGAGCATATATTGTTCCAGTTACCTCCAGATCCATAACATACCAACACAAAACTTCAGTGGCTTAAAACAAACAACTATTTATTGTTTCTCAAGATTCTCTGGGTCCGAAATTTGGGCAGGGCTAGGCCAGGTGGGCCATGTGGTATCAGCCAGCGTTACACACTCAGATGCATTCAGCTGTTGGCTGGGCTGGGCTGAAAGCTCCTAGAAGGCTTTGTTCACATGCTGGCGTTCTCAGAGCTCCTTTCTGTGATCTCTCTCTGTTTCTGTCTGTCTGTCTGTCTCCATATTGTGTCTTAACCCCCCGCCCCAGGCTCCCCACAAGGTCTCTCTTTCTAGCAGGATAGCTGGACTTCCTTATAGCAAAACTGAAGCTTCCGGGTCTCTTGAAGGCTAGACCCAGAACTGACAGTGTCACTTCTAGCACTTTCTATTGGGCAAGGCAGGTCACACGGTCAGCCAGATTCAAAGGGAGGGGAAACGGACTCTAATTCTGGACGTGTGGTGTGACTTGTCCGTACAACGAGGGAAGTTGGTGGCGGCCATCTTTGGAGACTATCACATGTAGCAAACACGCCATTTTGGCTGCCTGTGGAGAGTAGAGGAATTGGTGTGGGGGAACAGGGTGGAGGAGGGAAAGTAGTAAGACAAGAGAAAGGTCTTGCTCAGACCCCTGAGGAAGACTGGGTGTCACAAACTCGGAATACAGCTAACTTACCTTCCGTGCCTGAGGTACAAAAAACCCAAAACCCAAAATCAACCAAATAAAACAGGATTCCATAATCAAAATCAGGAAAAGCCCACCAAAAAAGTAACAAGACAATATGAAAACTTCAGAAATAGTCCAAGTATATGCCAACTTTCGGTAGGTTAAAGTGATGACTTTCAAAGAGGGAGAAAGGGAAAGATGCAGAGGATGTGTCTCATTTTCTCCGGCTTTCTTACCAGCGCCAGGAGCAGGGCTGTACCCTGAAACATGCAGTCAGTTCAGTCGAGGTCGGCGGCCGGTGAGAATCCCCATGACCCGGATGGCAGTTGGTAAACCTTGACAGGCAGCAGATAATCCATTTGTTAAGCTCTTGCCTGTATCTTGGAACTAAACCCACATACCCCGCAAGACTGGGGCTTCCTGGCAGTGTTTTCCAACTTTGAATTGTGACCCATTAGTGGATTGGGAACCTCAACTGAGTTGGTCATGAAATAGAATCCAAGTAGTAAGGTAAACATTGTTTCATGACCCTTTCATGTCAATAATCTATCTACAAATTCATTCATTCATTCCATCACTCCTTCATTCAATAAATACTTGTTGAGCTTCTACTGTGGGCCAGGCACTGGAAATTCAGAAGAAAGTAAAACGTACAAATGTGAGTGTTTGGGTGCAGGTGCATGCGTGGGCGTTCAGGATCACATTGTAACACTCTTACACTGGGTTACGGTCAAAACACAAAGCAGCCACCACTGCCTTAGCGGCTTCTTACGAATGTCAGGATCCGGGAGTTTGTGGCTGCCTCCTGTGTGTGTTGGAAAGTTACCACAAGCAAAGCACGGCCTCTGTTCCAATCCCTTTTTGGCACCGGGGCAGACATAGGCAGCTTCATAAGAGAAACTCCGCCCATAGCCAGCAGCCCAAGTTTGGAGGGTCAGAAAATCAGGGAAGAAAACTGTGTTTTCTTTCCCAAGTTGTCAGTGGGTGTAGGTGGTTAGCTCACCACAGTCCTCTGTTCAGGGAGCCCCGCCTTCCTCATAGGACTGTGAAGACCCCTCTCTGAGGGGCAATTTCCCTACCCTCCGGCCCCTCCACCAGGGGCAAGTCACTTCATCTCCCTGAGGCTCTGTTTTCCTCCCCTGTGGAGCAACCAAAGTACCCCTGTCCAGGGGTGTTGTGTTGCGAGGGTTACATGAGAAAATGTCGGTAGACCATGGGGAAGAGTGTCTGGGCACGAGGACAAAGGTGTGTGTGGCCAGGGCCATGGAAGGGGCTTATTGAGGTCGAATCCCTCCTGCCTGTGAGGGCCGCCTTTCCCTCCTCTCCCTATGCTTCCAGTTCTTGAGGGACTTTCCTCTGAGGAGAATGAAGCCAGTTGGCCCAGAGCTGGGAAGCTGAGTGGTGGAGCCCGCAGGGAGCTGGGGCCTAGACTCAGATGCCACATTGGGCAAGAGCAGAGAACCGGCCCCTCTGATCTCAATCAGGGATATTTGGAGACACCAACAATTCTGGGCAATTTAGAGGCAGGAAGTGAAAGCGGGAGGGGCAGAGGGGAAACAGTGAACTGCACCCCTGCCCTTCCTGGCCTGGCCCCCTCACGAACTGCGCGATGAGTGAGGTGACTGGCATGCGGGGAGGGAGAGGGACAGACCAAGACACCCCCTTCTCTGGGAAGAACAGAGCCAGTCCTGTCCCCCACCCCCACTACGCTTTGCCTGAGTTCCAACTCTGTTTTCACTTCTATTTACTGTCCAAAGTCCCTGGGGCAGGAGATGCCAGCTTAGAATCACTGGGACACTCAGACACACGGGCTCAGGGCCCTGGCCTGGATGACCCACTCCGTTCCTCTCTTCTTCTCATCTAGTACCACCTGCCCCCGTTCTCCTGTCTCCAGCCCCTCCTTTGACCTGGGGCCTAGGCTGCCTGAGGGACCCAGCAGTCCGCCCTCCATACCTCCAACAGGTAACCAAGGTTGGGGAGGCAGGTGGAATTGGGGATGTTTGGGATTAAGGCGACCCTAGTTCAGGGACAGAGGGGGCTGGATGGGAAGATGTGGGGTGGTTTGGTCCATGAGAGCGTGGTGGGAAGGCTCCTGGCCATGTCAAGGTCCAAGCAATCTCCTGAGAAGGGATGGGACCCAACTGTATTTCAGCCCCAAACTCACCTCCAACCTCAGACCCAACCCAAGCCGTCGCTCCGACCTGCTCAGACCCTACATTCAACCTCATCCTCCACCTGAATTAGCATCGGAGCACAAGCATCAGCCTGAACTCAGCCCCAGCCCCAAGAGCAGCCTCAACCTAACCCCAGATCCAGCTCCAGCCCTGGACCCAGAATGGCAAAGGACTTTCAAGACATCCAGCAGTTGGACTCTGAGGAAAATGACCACCAGCTCGGTAGAGGAGAGGGGCCAGGCTCTCAGGGGCGCCATTCCAGGACAGAAGATCCATTCTGGAAAGGCAAGTGTCCAGCGTCTGGGGCTTGGCCCCAAGTCTGTCTAGCTTCTGATCACTCTCTGTCTCTCTAAGGTCTGTCACATTCACTCTGTGACTAGGGGTGGGGCCCCTCCAGGTATGAGGTGCCTGACACCTCTGCTTGCCCCCTGACCTCACCTTCCTCTCCACCCCCAGGACCCCAGGAAGTTGTGTGTGCCCAGAAGTGAGGCAATAACTGGAAGCTGGAGACGACTTCCTCCCTTCTTCCTTCAGACCTGAGCAGTGTGTGCATGTGTGTATGCATGGGAAGCACGTTCAGCCAGGAGAGTGTGTATGTGTGCAAGTGGGGGGTGTGGGGATGGATAGGTAGGGGAACTGGCACAGAGGGATCCTGGAAGATTCTTGCTCCTCCCAACCCTCCTGCCTGGATCCTTGTCTAGCAAATCTTGACTGAAGCCCTCAAGTGTCTGGGAAAAGGTTTAAGGCGAGAGAGATCTGAGTGGTTTAAGGCTGAAGGGCAGAAGCCAGGGGTGGGGGTTGGGTATCAGGCGTGTGGGTGCTGGTGATGGAGCGAGGCTCTCTGGAAACAGGAGGGCTTGGGGCTCGGAGCTCAGGAAGGCAGACTGGTTAGCCTGGGCTGGGAGGAGGGACCCCTCATTCCTGAGGCTGGCAGATGGAGGGAGAGCTGGTGCTGTTGCAGATGAGGGTGGGTGCTGGGCAGGGCAGGAACAGCGGGAAGGACAGGCATTCTCAGCCACAGCTCTCCCTTCCGGGGGTAGTGGGCTGGCAGGCCGTAGGCAGGCCAGACCTCTGCATCCCTCCCTCTGCATCCTCAGTGCCCACGTGATGCCTGGTACTTAGCGAGACTCAAAAATGACTTTGGATATTGTGGAATCTTCTGAGGGTGAGAAGATTCAGAGTTTAAGCAGGAGGCTTGGAAAGAGTCCAGAGGGTTTGGATTTCATGGCAGAGAGTGTTCACCCAAAAGGGCTGATGAACAACACGGCAGGGCAAGTCTGAGGCAATGCAACCATCAGTGTGTTTCTCTCCAGCAGCCCCTGCTGCCTTCATGTGAGCTGACGCCAATCACCTGCTTACCGGGGACCATCTTCCATTCTTCCTGGCACTTGATATGCCTACAGTTCTTAGCAAATCTGGAAATGTTTTGGCTATTGTTTCCTCAAATATTTTTTCTGCTGCCCCCCCTTTCCTTCGAGGACTACAATTATGCACATATTAGTGTCTCACAGCTCATTGATGCTCTTTCTAGGTTTTTAAAAATTCTTTTCTCTTGGTGTTTCTGTTTATATAGTTGTTGTTGCTGTGTCGCTAAGCTCACTAATCTTTTCTTATGCATGTCTAATCTTCCATTAATTCTACCCAGTATATTTTTCACTTCAGTCATAGTTTTTATCTCCAGAAGTTCAACCTGGGACTTGATATATCTTCCTTGATATTTTACTTAATTTTTGGAACATATGGAATAGAGTCATAATATCTGTTTTAATGTCCTTGTCTGTTAATTCTAACATCTGTGTCAGTTCTGGGTCCATTTTGATAGATTTATTAGTCTCCTTATTTTGAGCTGTGTTTTCCTGCTTCTTTCGATACCTGGTAATCTTTGATTGGCTGCCAGACATTGTGCCTTTTACCTTGCTGGGAGCTGCATACGTTTGTATTCTTCTAAAGATTCTTGAGCCTTGCTCTGGGATGCAGTTAAGTAACTTGAAGTCAACTTGATCCTTTTGGCTCATGCATTTATGACTTTTTAGGTAGGTCTGGAGCACCAGAGAGGCAAGACTTTCTTGGGTCTTCTACCCACTGCCCTGTGGGTTATGAGTTTTCCAGTCTGTCTGTGAGAATAGGCACTATTCCTGGCCAGGTGTGAGTGCCAGGCACTGTTCCCTAATCGTGTCAGATTGCTTTTCTCCTGCCCTTGGGGACTTCTCCTTACACACATGTGCTGACGGGTACTCAGCTGACGGCTCAAGGGAACCCTTGTGGGCCGCCGGGACTCTGCATGCAGCCCTCTCCTCTCATTCTCTGTCCTGTGAAGTCTAACCACCGTGGTCTCCTCCGACACTCAGCTCCATCTCCTCAACTCGGGGAGTCTGCTGGGTTCCGCCTGGATTTCCCCTCCCTGCCCCGTGGCCTGGAAACTTTCTCCCAGCACCAGGCTAGGGCGATTGTGGCGCTCATCTTGTTTGCTTCTTGTCTCTCAGGGATCATTGCGCTTTGCTGCCAGATGCCCAATGCTTTGAAAATGGTTGTTTCTTAGCGTTGCCTGTTTTTTGTTGTGGTTGTCTCTGGGAGGAGGGTAAATCTTGTCCCTACTATTCCATGGTGTGCAGACCCTTTCTTTCACTTTCAAACTTGCGTAAGCAGCACTTTTCATGTTTTAACTCATTTCGTTCTCAGAACAACCCAATCAGATGGCCACTGTTCTTTCCCCCATTTTTTTTTTATTGTGGTGAGAACACTTGATAGGGGATCTCCCCTCTTACCAGGTGTTTAAATGCACAATAGCTCATTGTTAACTATAGGAGCAATGTTGTTCAGCAGATCTCTAGAACGTATTCATCTTGCGTGACTGAAACTTTATACCCATTGAAAAGCAACTCCCCATTTCCCCTCCTCAGCCCGTGGCAACCACTGTTGTACTCTGCTTCCGTGAACATGACTCTTCCAGATTCCCTTTATGAGTGGACATGAGAAAACTGAGGCACCGAGAGGCTGAGGGACTCAGCCACGATCTCAGAGCTACTTGGTGGCATAGCTGGATTCCACTGCGGGCGGTTTCAGGGTAGAGGTGCAGAGACACATTGCTGAGCTGACCCAGAGTTGGGGGTTTATAGTCATAGGTCAGATTGGGAAACAGGACAAGGGCCTGCTCAGTGGACAGTACTGGAGAGAGCAGTCAGGAGCTTGGCAATGGAGTCCCACCTGGGTTGGAGAGGCTGTGTTCAGGGAGAGCTTCTGGAAGGCAGCTATGCTCACCAATGCCACTAGGGAGAGCTTCTGGATGGAGAGAAATGCAGGGGATCAGGGAAGACATGTTGGGGAGAGTGAGAGGCAAGGGGGAGGCTGTGCTGAGAGGGAGGTGTTGGAGACATGGCCTCTCTGGGTCAAGATGAGGCCCTGAGTGTGGCTGACGTGGAGGAAGGTGACAGTCATTGGTGTGAGGAGGTCAAGAGTTCGAGGTGGTCACTCTCAGGCACAGTGTCCAACTCAGGATAGTGGCAGGAGATGAACTGGGAGGAAGATCCTGGGTCCTGACTGAGCCTCCCAGGCTGTGGGGTTCCTGGGTGTGACAGCAACAAGGAGAGAGGGAAGGTGAGGGTCTGAGGCACAGAAGGTGGAAAGAAAGCAGGAGCTCAGGGCTGGGAGGAGAGCCAGAGCTCCAGGCGCGGAGAGCCAGCAGGAGGGGCGAGGCCAGCTCAGCGCGTGTGAAGACGCGGGTGCGCGTGCGTGAGAAGGTGTGTGTCAGGGTATATATGTATGTGAATGTGTGCTACAGCATATGAGAGGGTGTATATGAGAGTGTGCATGTTAATGTGTGTGTGAGTGTGAGTGTATGTTAATGAGTGTGTTTGTGAGTGAAATGAAAAATGCGTGTGTGAGAGTTTTTGTGGTCAGAGTTCAGCCTGATCAAGGGGAGGGAGAGGTGTCTGTGAGATGACTGAGGGCCGAGGGCAGGGGGTTTACAGCAGAACAAGGGCTTCTGGGGCAGCGAGGGCAGAGGGAAATGGGAGATGAGGAGGGAGCATGGGGCCTGGAGGGCGGCCCTTGGGGAGTGGTCTGTAGTGGAAGGACCTGGACTTAAGGATCCCAGTGGAATTTGGGGTCATGGGGCAGCTGTTCCAGTTTTGGGTTTGTCTCAGGGGCCTGGGCTGGGGTTTTGGGAAGAGCACAGGGCTCGGCCTCAGCACAGGGGACCCCAGGCTGAGGGAACAAGGGACTTAGAGGAGCTGAGGCTCAGAAGCCAGAGGTGACGCGAGCCCTCTGCTAGTGGTTGCGCAGAAGGGGAAACCCACTCATGGATCTCATTTCCCAGGATGTGTGCCTAATAAGGCCAGGTCTGTCCCATACCCCTTCTGTGTCTCCCTGTCGCCCGGGTCCAAGATGGGGCTTCCACAAAGACAATGTGATAACATGTGCCATGTGCATGTGTGTTGTGTGAATCTGTGTAGGTGTGTGCATGTTTGCACGTGTTCATGTAGGTGCGAGTGTGCAAATGGGCGTGTGAGCAATGTCTGGACACTGGGGTTAAAGCCGCCTGACCCCTCCAACACCCCCCAGATACTGTTGCCTTGGATGCTCCCCCTTACCTTCAGTCTCTGGCTCCCCTCCCTGACGCCTGGGTCCTGACACCCCTTCTCTTGCAGGGACACCTCCTCCGCAACCCGTGCTGCTGCAGCGTCTCTGCTCCAGGCTCCGCCTCAGCCTGCTCATCCTGGGCATCAATGTCCTGCTGCTGGTGGCCATCTGTGTGATTGGGTCCCAAAGTGAGGGTTGCTGGGGCCAGCAGGCATGGGGTGATGATGGGAGCGGAGACAGGGGCAGTACTGGGGGCAACGAGAGCTCTGATAGGGGAAGGGATGGAGGCATCGGGGCAGTGCTGGGGTGGTGAGGAGGCAGTCACATGGACGGTGATGGGCGCTGTCATATGGGACACAGGCCCTCCTCTTAGTTCTGTCCCTATTGTCTCCTGACAAGGAACACAGCTGCAAGTGGAACTGTGGACCCTAAAAGAAACTTTCAGCAATTTCTCCTCAAGCACCCTGATGGAGATCCAGGCTCTCAGCTCCCACGGTGAGCAGGTGCTCCCCTGAGGGGAGGGGCCGGGGTGGCCGGCTGGTGGAGGCCCCTGTTTGTCAGCAGGGATTTGCTGGGCTCCTTGCTGGGCCCCAGTGCTGAGTCTGCAATAGGGAGTGTTTGGGGTGCTGTGGGGGTGCAGACTGGGGCAGATAACGTAGCCCGAGAAGCTGGGCAAGGCTCCCAGGGGGCGCTGACCCCTGAACTGAGGGACCCTGAAGGATGAATAGGGATTAGACAGGTGAAGAGGATGGGGTTAGTGCCAGGTAGAGAGAACAGAATCTGCGAGGGCCGGGGGTGAGGAAGACCATTGCACATCTGGGGACCATAAACACTTCTGGTGTGGCGGGAGCTAGGTGAGTTGGGGCCAGGCCGTGCTAGAGCAGTGAGCTGGTGAACCCTAGTTCTGCGAAAGTGGGACCTATTGAAGGGGTTTAAGCAGGAGTGAGAACTGAGCAGCTCTGTGCCTCAGAAAGCCTCTGTGGCAGCGAGGGAGCCTGGGCGGAGTCAGACAGGCCACGGGGCAGAGGGTACCATGTCCCAGGTCAAGGTGATGGTGGCCTGGACTGGTGCCCCAGTGATGTGAGGATGGATGGATGTTAAGGAGGCAGAACAGAGGGAAAACGGTTTAGCTTTCCTCTTTTTCAGGAGGCAACGCTGGTGACAAGGTGACATCTCTGGAAGCCAAGCTGGCGAAACAGCAGCAGGAGCTGAAAGCAGGTCAGAGACCCTCCCTTGAGTGTGTGTGTGTGAGTGTGCATGTGTGTAGGGTGTTGTGGGTGTTGTGTTTCTCCAGCCAAGGGCTGGAGTCCTGTGCTGGGTCCTAGTGGGTGGGACACCCCCACTGCCTATACCATCGTCCATCGCTCTGTCCCCCTAGATCATGCCACCTTGCTCCTTCATCTGAAGCACTTCCCAGTGGATCTGCGCATCCTAGCTTGTCAGCTGGCATTCCTCCAGAGCAACGGTAGGCACAAGGGGCGTCTCCAGTCCCTCTGCGCCTGTCCCCCCACCGCCGCTGAATCTCATCTCCCTCTGCCCCCTAATCCCCTCAGGCACAGAATGCTGCCCCGTTAACTGGGTGGAGCATGAAGGCAGCTGCTACTGGTTCTCTCACTCTGGGAAGACATGGTCCGAGGCTGAGAAGTACTGCCAGCTGGAGAACGCCCACCTGGTGGTCATCAACTCCAGAGAGGAGCAGGTGAGCCCATACCCTTCCCAAAGGCAGGAGGAAACCTCGGGGAGGCAAACTCGGAGAGGCTGGATCAGGCTTGCTTTATTATTATTTTTTAACCTAAGGAAGAGTCCAGAAGCAGACGTCTCTGGCAGAGCTCTGAGAGGTTCACAGTGGAGTAGCTGTTGATTCTTAGAGGTGGGAGATCACAGCCAGGATCCTGGGCGAAGGGGCATGGGTGACCAGGTGATGAGGAGCAGGTCAGGAGACAGAATGCGAGGCAGGATGAACGGGGCCAGGACTCGGATGGAGAAGACAGTGGAGGCATGAGTCCCCACTTGCTGTGTGCTGGCCGTAGGCTGTGTGGTCACTTGGGTGAAAGGAGCAGAGCGGGCAGGATTCCCAGTGACACACCTGCCATGGGTTACTGCGTCTCTCCAAAGCACCCCAGGGCCCCCTGCCCACGGTTGCCACCAGACCACAACCCCGAACACTGAAGTTCACAGGGAAGAACCTACCCGTTAGAAGAGGTGGGGCATTTTTTGGAAAAGGAGGAAATTAACGTAACATTTGCCAAGTCCTTACTTCCTACCAGGCACTTTCATTTATTCACTTCTCTAATCCTCACAGCCTATGGGGCGGGCACTCATTATCCCCACTTGGAGGGAGGGAGAGATGGGGAACCAAGTAACTTACCGCACAGCCAGCAAGTCAGAACGGAGCTGGAATTCAGAGCCACTGTGCCTCCTTTGCCAGTGTTTTCAACTACTGCATGCTGCCAGAACAATCGAATACATATATATTTATGTAATATATTTAATTTATATGTTTATATATAATTTATTTAATAATATACTTATATCAAATATAAATATTTATAATTATAAATGGTGGAATGGTCACAAACGTATTTTTGCTTTATTGACCAGGTTGAAATTGCCAATACTTAATCAATTTTGACCTATAAAAATATCAGTTTCATGTGGGTCGACCTAAGACCTCAGTGCTTCGTGATTTGGCCACACGTTCATGACAGCTACGACTTCATGGTGGATCGGATTGTACCTTCATCCGTTCAGTGCTTTTTGCCTTGAATTCATCTTTTTTTTTTCTGAGGAAGATTAGCCCTGAGCTAACATCTGCTGCCAATCCTCCTCTTTTTGCTGAGGAAGACTGGCCCTGAGCTAGCATCTGTGCCCATCTTCCTCTACTTTATATGTGGGATGCCTACCACAGCATGGCGTGCCAAGCGGTGCCATGTCTGCACCTGGGATCCAAACTGGCGAAGCCCGGGCCACTGAAATGGAAAGTGGACACTTAACTGCTTGTGCCACCGGGCTGGCCCTGAATTCATCTTTATAGGATGGTCCTTGATTTCTTTTCTCTTGCATTTGCTTAATGTCTCTCTATCCATCCTCTCATTTCCAATGTTTTTGAATCTCGTAGTGATTTTTAGCCTTGGCTGTATATTGTAAGCTCTTGAGTTAAAAAATTATTGACACCTGGTCTCACACTCAAAGATTCTGATTTAATTAATCTTGGATTCATCCTGGGCATTGAGATTTTTAAAAGTTCCCCCAAGTGATGCTACGGTGCAGCCAAACTTAAGGTATTTCTCCTATAGGTTGTGTGTAAGTTTTATTTTTGATTTTTAAAAATGGAAATTTTTCAATTGAAATTGAATTCAATCAAAAAGAAATTGAAATAAAATTTTTTTCTTTCTTTCTCTCTCTCTCTCTCTTTTTTTTTTTTTCTGGGAAAGATTCAGTCTGAGCTAACATCTGTTGCTAATCTTTCTCTCTTTTTTTCCTCCTCAAAGCCCAGTACGTAGTTGCGTATTTCAGTTGTAAGCCCTTCTAGTTCTTCTCTGCCAGCCACTGCCACAGCATGGCTACGGACAGGCAAGTGGTGTGGTTTCACACCCGAGAACTGAATCTAGGCCCCCGAAGTGGAGTGTGCTGAACTTTAACCACTAGGCCATCAGGGCTGGCTCAAAGCTTTTTTTTTTATAAAATAGGTGAACATATCTCATTTACATTTATTTTTAACTAGATATCTTTAATTTTAATCCTGTCTTTTTTCCTGTTTTATGTACTTCTTTTGTTTTCTCACATTTGCTATGTGAGCTGTATTCTTTTTGTTTTCTCCTCTAGGGTATTTTGGACAGCATGTAGCATATTTTTAGTTATACTAGTGGTCAGTTTCATGGCTTTGAATGATGGGCTGAAACTTATTGGCTTCAAAAAATAAGAGTTTATATAACCTTCCATATGAAAGAAGAGTAACCCAGCACACTTATTCTTCTTCACATGCCTCATTCTTTAATTTTTTTAAATTGGGATTTAATTGACATATAGCATTGTGTAAGTTTAAGGTGCATGACGTGTTGGTTTGATACTTCGATGTATTGTAATATGATGATTGCAGTAGTGTTAGCTAACACCTTTATTATGTCAACTAATTATCATTTCTTTTCTGTGTTGAGAACAATTAAGACCTAGTCTTTTAGCAACTTTGAAGTTTATAATGCCTCATTTTTTTCTCTCCTAGATTCCTTAAGTGTTTTGCGTGAATAGTTGGAATCTTTTCTATCTTTGAATTTCGTTAACCTCATTCAGATATATCTCGGTGTTGCTCATTCTCACTGTATTTTTGCTCTGAGGCCAGGAGAGTCCTTTTAATACATAAAGTCAGGTTTTCTAACATTTGGGAAGATTTTTTTAAGTCATATTATGTTTGAATTTTTTTTCTTGTCTATTTGTTCTCTTTTCCTCTGGAGCCTGTCATCCAGAAATATCTCCATTGTCTGCGCCCCACAGCCGACACCTTCTTGCTATTTACTTCCCTCTTTCTCTCCTTTCCTCTGCATTCTGGGTCCTTTTCTCAGGCTCATCTTTCATATCTCAGACTTAGTTTTCTGCTGAGTTGCTCGTTTTTGAGATAGCTCAAAATTTTTCTCTTCAATTTCTTTACTTATCACTGTGTTATCTTTCTTCTTTGACATCTTCTTTCATATTTTATGTCATTCATCTCCTCTTTAATTTTTTTTGAGGGTGTAAAGAAGCTGTTCCCCAACATCCCCTTATGTTCTGAAACATGCCTTGTTTTCAAAGTTTGCTTTCACCTCTCTTTTTGATGTCACAGTTGTTTCTTCCTCCTCTCTTCCTCTTGATCCTCACTATTTTTGCGTAATTTCCGCCATAATGTTCCCCTTCTGCTGCTTTTATGAATGGGCACACTTCTTTCTTGCCTGTTGTTTACCCGCGAATAGGGGAGATCAGTGCTCCTGGGCCAGGTTCTCTCATCATCTGGCACTCCTTGATTCCTCCCCTCCATCTTCAACACAGAGGCCTGGATATTGACGATTTGTATTCTTTGTTCGGTTATTCAGCTTCTTGTGGTGACAGGAAGAAGGGACTGCGGCAGCAGACAGCAGTAAATAGAATATCTTGTCCTCCAGGCGCTTTCCTTCCAGCTCTGTTGACTCCTGTGAATTTGGGGAGCAGCCCTACCAGCCTCTGAGGGCTGCCCCTTCATGCACAGGACAGTGTCCTATTTGCAGGATTCTAGAAGTCAAAGATGCTGTAGTATCTGCCCTCAGATGAGGAGACTAACTGCAAGCTTAGTTGTGTCTCTAAGAAGTGAGAGGGGAATCAGGAAGTTTTCCTCCAATCGCAGTTGGAGACCCTTCGCATGCTGTCAAAGGGAACTGCTAGGTGTGCATGTTGGTCACCCCATCCTTCCCCCTCCCCTGCTACCCTCCTAAACCATGGGACTTAAGTCCCCCAGGAAGAGCCATATACATGAGAAGGTCACTTGAGGGTCTGTTGTCTTAGGGGGTGTGCATGAGTCCTGGGGAACTATCTCAGAGACCAGTTTCACCCTAACCCCTGCCAACTGGGTGACGGGGCTTCCCCTCACACCCAGGGCAGCCTCCTATTTTCAGCACAGACTGCCAGACCTCATGTAGGCAAGTCAAAATGGGGCTCTGGGCAGCGGGTCCAAGCTTGGAAGCTCCAGGGCTTGGCAAACCTCCAGAAATGACAGCTACACATAGAAGCAGGAGCAGAGGCAGATGTGCCTGAGAGACGAGTGAAACTGAGATCCTTATTGGGTGCTGGGGTCCATGGGGATGCCAGGGGCAGGGGTGAGAGTCAGGATTCCAAGAGTTTGAGGTTGTGGGCAGAAGACAAGCAGAGGACTAGAGTAGGGTAGCAGCCACGAGTTGGGAATGAAGTGGGAGGCCAGGTCATGGGGCGGTGTTCACAAACTCAGGCACTGGACTGACTTTCTGGGCTCTACCAACTACCTCGAGCTCCTTAAGCCCATGCGTGAAGTGTGAATCATCTGGGTGCCCAAATTAGAGGGCTTTAAGAGAATTAAATAAGGTAATCCTTGTAAAGCACTTAGGATGAGATCTAGCCCAGCACCTTTACAGAAGAAAAGGCAAGGAGCTAGTTGTGTGGGGCTGATGGGTCTGCCTGGGGCCAGATCAGACTGGGGAAGGCTGAGGGAAGCCCAGCTCATGCCTTCATGGAGGCACAGGGACTAGAAACTTCCCTCCTGTCTGTTTTCCAGAAATTCATTGTACAGCACACGAGCCCCTTTCATATCTGGATAGGTCTCACTGACAGTGATGGCTTCTGGAGATGGGTGGATGGCACAGACTATAGGTATAGTTACAAGTAAGTGCTGCGTCTGCCTCCCGTTCTGGTCTTGGTCTTTTGCCCCAATACACTCCCACCCAGCCCTCAGGGACCAAATTCCCCAGACTCCCAACCTCCAAAGCTGTAGCTTCTGCTCCCTGAACCCCTCTAAGGCTGAGCTTTTCTGAGGTGGGGGTGAGAGTTGCTGGGATGGAGGAGGGGCTCAGAGCTGGATCTCTATCCTGCCTTCCTAGGAACTGGGCTGTCACTCAGCCAGATAACTGGCATGGGCACGAGCAGGGTGGAGGCGAAGACTGTGCCGAAGTCCGGCCTGATGGCCGCTGGAACGACGACTTCTGCCAGCAGGTGTATCGCTGGGTGTGTGAGATGAAGCAGAACATCACCACCTAGGAGCCCCGAGCCCCGCAGATCTCTAGCCTGTCCCCGACCCCTGCTGCCCCCAGCCTCTCTATTGGGGATTTTGAAGAAAGGAAGAAGAAAAGAGAGCCATGGGGAGGGGTTGAGGAAAGAGAGAAGGAGGTGGTTTAAGACTCTCAGACCCTGGGAAGACTGAGATCCCACATCCTGCAAGTCACAGTAATTATTATAATTTTCAGCCTCCTCAATGGAGTAGGAAAAGAAGAACCAAATACTTGAAACTCTGCGTGGACTGGTTATTTGGAACTGGGAAATGTAGGGTGCGAAGAAGAGGGAGGGGAGAGGGTCTCGAAGAGAGAAAGTTTAAGTCCTAGACAGCTGCCCTGGACACGCAATCCCGAGGGACACAGGTCAGTGGCAGGCACTGGGGGTTGGAGGGAGGGAGGGCCTGCCTGCATCCTGAGGGGTTCCCAAAGGAAGAGCTCTCCCTGCAGGTGGGATCTCCTCCTGGAGAGCTGCAGGGAGCACCCCTGCTCCACTCGCAGCCTGGGAGCTGTGGACTGGGCTGGCGAAGGCCAGTGGGGAGGGTTTGCCAAGAGAGGGAGGGTTTCCACGTGGCCGTCTCTTTTTGATCCCAAACAGATCTAGACATAGCTCCAGTACATGGGGTCACCAACAATTTCCGCAGTGGGTAAAGTTCACCTGCCAAGATCATTCTGAATCCGACCTTAAAAGGGTCTTAAAGCATTTGATTTTTCGTTTTACTCTTATTACAAAAGTAAAATATATTATTAGGAAAAAATGTTTCAAATATACACACACATCTCATACACACAGGGAGTGTCCTTCCCTCATCCCTCCCACTGCTCCCCGGAGCTAACAATTTCATGGATATTATATTAGTCATAGTTTTCCAAAGAAATCAATAGAAAGCATCTATCTATCTATCCATCTACCTATCTATCTATTGTCTATCGAAAGATATTTGTTATAAGGAATCGGCTCATGTAATGATGGAGGCTGACACGTCCCAGGTTCTGCAGGCGAGTCGGCGAGCCAGAGACCCAGGACGGCTGATGATGCACGTTCCAGTCTCAATCCAAAGGTCTGAGAACGGGGAGAGCTGATGGTATCGTTTCATATGAAGGCAGCAGGCTCAAGACCCAGGAAGAGCCGATGCTTCTGTTCAAGTCCAAAAGCAGGAAAAAAGCTGATGTCCCAGTTTGAAAAGGGTTGGGCAGGAGGAACTCTCTTACTCACTGGAGGGTCAGCCTTCTTGTTCTCCTCAGGGCTTCACCTGGTTGGATGAGGCCCACCCACACTAGGGAGGATGGTCTGCTTTACCGATTCAAGTGGTCATCTCATCCGAAAGCACCTGTGCAGACACACCCAGCATAACGTTTGACCAAATATTTGGGCGCCCTGTGACCCAGTCAAGTTGACACATGAAATTAACCATTACAGGTTTCCTGTCAGGATGTCTCCTGCAGACGTGCATAAATGCAACACGACATCATTATGCGGCTTGCCTTTTTCACTTTACAGTGTGCCGTGGACATTGATCCACACTATGCTATTCCCTGACGGGTTTGACCTCATTGAATTTAGCAGAGGTAGAGAGTTCCAAGTATGGATATGCCGTATCTTATGTATTCATTCTCTGTGGTGGACAGGCGGTGGTCATTTTTGTTTGTTTTCATGCACGATATTGCAAGCAATTTTTGCTTCTAAGCTTGTACTAGGTCATGACTTTCCGATTCTTAGTTGTAACGTTTTCTAGGATTTCTCCTTCAAAATGTATATGATTGGCATTAAATTAAAAAATTATGAAGGTAATAATACACGCAATTTAAAGTCTTGTAGGGCTAGAAGCAGCCACTCCTGCTTTTCAGAGAAATCATCTTCAGTATTTTGGCTGTTTCTTCTGGTATTGACATCTGAACTTCTAAATAATACACGTAAGCGAGTATCTCTTTATTTATCAATTGTTGACATTATTCCATCACTCTTTGTCAAGTAGATGGGTACAATCTTCCAATTTAGTCTACCACAATTTTTATTTAAATCCTAGTTCAGAATCTGGATCAGTTAAGTCTGTGTCAGTATTGTTAACTGCTGAGCCACGTAGTATAATCTGATTACATTTCCTTTCTTGCACAACTTTTGTTTCTTCTGAAGTTAATAATTATTTCATTTAAAAATTTGCTTCAGATTCTTTGAACCTATTGTGAAATCTTCCTTAACTGTAAAAACCCCTAACAGTATAATTTTCCACACATGCAAACTGGTCACATAACCAGCATTTCAGTTCAACTTTTTTCCTAGAGCCACAGAAGCGAATCCAAGTTTTATGGGACCTGAAGTGTACACAATTTTGGGGAGCCCTACTTAGGAAAAAATGCAAAATTAAACATAAAAGGTAATATTTACTTAAGTTAGAAAACCCCCACAAATTAAGAAACTGAAAGCGACCATAAACATCACAAAATCCAGAAAAATAATATATTTTTAATAATCTTCCAACACACCTTGAAAGTCCACTTCCCTATACTTTTTTGCTGCATACTCATCGCTGACTTCTGCATATGACAAAAACATTGTAAAGTGACTTTCCATAGAGAAGAAAAAGATAATTGAGAGTCTCCCCTTGCACGTTTCTTCTTTGTTACTGAGGCCAAGTGCTTCAGGGTGCTCATGTCCCACCTTCACATCACCTCCCGAGTGAGTCTGCACAGTGGGTGGCAGAAGTACCTGAAGGCCATTCCCGCGCTGGTGGGCCAACCGCATGGATCCACAGTGTGACTACAAACCACGTATCCATGTCCCTCTTGACTCAAGCCAAACGTATTTCCAACCTAACTTCTTAGTTGGATGAAAAAAGCCACCTGACACCGAGGGAAGTGTGGAACGGGACCGTAGGTGTGGAAAGTAAGTGACAGGGGTCATCTTAACTGATTATAGTTAAAATAACTTCTTTTCACAATTTATGAAAACTTATAATCATGTGAAGATGTTGCTAGGGCCCTTGGGGGCCTGTAAGGGACCCATGTAGGGCCCTTGAGCTCAAGTTCCCTTTGGCTCCCAATCTACTCAAGTACCCCCCTACCCTTCCCCCCCCCCCCCGACACCTGCCAGTCTTGTGCTCTCAGCTCCCACTGGCTGAGGTTGCTCTCTCAGCCTGTGGCATCCTAGAAAATCTGACCTTTCTCTTTCCCCTGGGCTGGATCCTCTCTTCCCTGGATCCCTGTCTTCTTCTTTCTTGGTTTATTTCTTTGTTTTGTTGAAGCATGTCCTCCAGTAGCTTTCTGAAAAAGTGTGTAGGGGAGAGACATTTTTCGATAGATTGATCATTTGTGGGAATGTAGAATTCTAGAGTGAAAATAACCTCCCTTCACTGTTTCGTAGGCCTCACTCTATGTTTCTAGCTTTCAACATCTTGTTGAGAGGTCTGACCCTCCTCTAGGCCTGACCCTTTGTAGGTGAACATTTCCCTCTCTTTAGGATGTTCCCCATAATGGGTGTCTGAAAATTACCACCGATGTCCCCTGGCGGGGGCCTCTCAGTAGTTATACCAGCTCTCACCAGGCTTTTTAAATCTGGGATGGAGATGATGGAGGAGAAGCAGCTGAGACCCAGGTGGTTGGTCTTTGGGCCACAGTGAGGATTCTGCTGCTACTTGCTCGAAATCTGCTGGCTGTGTCGGGTGCCATCTTCGCCCCTGTTCAGTATCCTGGGTTCTTAGGGAAAACCCCAGGAGACTCCCGTGTGACACGAAACAGTGACATCACACTGTTGTTCAGTATTTTCCTCCAAATCTTAGATGTTAGGCTTTTTGCTCCAAACTTACTCTTTCAACTACTGATCCATATTCTGAATTGAAAATACAAATTTTTTTTAAAGATTTTGTTTTTTTCCTTTTTCTCCCCAAAGCCCCCTGGTACATAGTTGTATGTTCTTAGTTGTGGGTCCTTCTAGTTGTGGGATGTGGGACGCCGCCTCAGCATGGTTTGATGAGCAGTGCCATGTCCGCATCCAGGATTCGAACTGACAAAACACTGGGCCGCATGCAGCGGAGCACGCAAACAGGGCCAGCCCTGAAAATACAACTTTTAAATTATTACATTAAAAGTAAGTTCTGGGCATGGCTAAGTAAAAGAAGTCAATCTGAAAAGGCTACATTCTATACGATTCCAAGTGTATGACATTCTGGTAAAGGTAAAACTATGGAGACAGTAAAAAGGTCAGTGGTTGTCAAGGGCTCAGGGGGAGAAAGGGATGGATGAACAGGTGGGTCACCGAGGATTTTCAGGACAGTGACACTGCTCTGTATGATACTGTAAAAGGGCATCCATGTCATTACACATTTGTCAAAATCCATAGAACGCACAACACCAAGAGTGAACCAATGTAAACTACGGACGTTGGTTACTGATAATGTGCCAATATTGGCTCATCAGTTGTAGTGAATGTGCCACTAATGCAAGAAGAGAAAAAAAGCAAGGGAAGAATAAAATGAAAATTACAATAAATATAATTTTCTGTTCTTTTGAGTTATTGGAATGACTCACTGTAGGAGGGACTAAACTTAAGCACATTCTGTGGTTGGAAACAGAACATCTGATAAAGTAAAATTGCCTTTGGAAGATGAACAAATTGTGGGAGCCGATAGCTTCCTATAATAATAATAAATAAAAACAAAAGCTCTTTGTACAGTGCTTTTAGGAGTAATGTTTCCTCAGCAAGCTATCAAAGAAAGACCTTAATAAATGCCAGAAAGGAGAGATTTTTAAGGTCTCATTCTCTTATTATATACAATTAAAGTCATATATAAGTAATAAAAAGAGGAACCAAAATGTCTTAGCTATTTGTAAATGAAGAAATACTCTTCCATCTCACCACGATTCACAGTGAAAACTATCTAGAAAAGAACGAAATATATCAAAACCCGTGGGATACAGCTAAAGCTGGACTCAGAGGAAAATGTACAGCCTCATGTTTTTATAACTTAAAACTGAAGACTGAAAACAAATAAGCCAGTGTTTAACTTAAAATTAAGAAAAATCACCTACAAAATCACCCAAAGTGTAGCAGGAAGAGAGAATTAATAAAGATAGAATATTAGAAGATTCCAAAAATTGGTAGAATGAGTAAAAGTAAAACCCATTTAAAAAATTAAACTTTCTATTTTTAGGTAATTGGAGACTCAAATGCAGTTGTATGAAATAATACAGAGAGATCTCATGTAGCATTTATGCAGTTTCCCCCAATAGTAACATCTTGG